CAAACCCAGAAAAACTACAATATACATTTTACTCGAATAGTCATAAATCTTGATCCAGAATTGACATGATTTCAATGATGCCTGGACTAAGAATCAATATGCAGGAAATTGAGATAGAATTAGGCACCTTTAAAATTGACATGGAAAGGAATACAGAAAAAATTAAGATGGACTTTGAACCAATCTATATTAAAAGAGAAAAAATTACAGAATTAGCAACAAAAGAAGTGATTTTTTAAAAAAGAAAATGAAAAAGAAGATGCATATTACAAAATGTATGGGACATGGCCAAAGCATATTTTCGAGGTATAGCTATAACATACATGGCAAAAAAGAATAAAAAAAAAAGACAACAATGTGTGCTGTTAAGGGAAGAATTAAAAAAAATAGAATTGGAATTACAAATAAATCCACAAAAAAAGTATTGAAAAGACAAATGTGAATAATAAAACATAAATTAAATGTAATAGAACCAGAAAAACTGGCACAACAAATTAAAAGAGTAAAGCAATTTTTTTTGAAAATGCAAATAAACCAGGAAGATGGTTAGCTTACAAACTTAAAAAACAGAAGGAGAAACAATTGATAAGCAACTTAGTAGATGAAAATGGCTGTCTACAATTTAAAAATGAGGCAATAAAAAGATAATTAAAGAGTATTATGAGAAACTGTATGATATGGAAGAAATTCCATGGGAAAAAATAGTTCAATATATGGAAAAAAAATAACCTACCAAAAATTCCAGAAAACTTTAAGATTATGTTAAATGAGAAAATAACAATGATGGAATTGATAGAGGCTATAAAAAGACAAAAAAACATGGGACCAGATGGGCTCCTGGCAGAGTTTTACAAATGCCTACAAGATACACTAAGTCAGTGATGGCAAACCTTTTAGAAACTGAATGGCCAAACTGCAACCCAAAACCCACTTATGCATCGTCGAGTGCCGGGGGGGGGTGGCCCATTGGGTGAGCATGACCCATCGGGTGGGCGTGGCTGTGGTAATGGCAGACTGGGTAGGACTAAAAAGTTCAATCAATCAATTCCAATTTTGCAAGATCTTTTTTTTTCCGCAAGTAGTTGAAAATGAACTCTTTTTTTTTTGCACATGGTGGAGGCCTAAAGCAAAAAGGGTTTATAAAACCCAGCTGAAGGCCTAGCACTGGGGCGACGGCCTGCGTGCCCACAGAGAGGGCTCTGAGTGCTGCCTCTGGCACTCGTGCCATGGGTTCGCCACCACTGCATTAAGTTTACCATTGAAAGATGTCTGTAATGAACTCTTATTGAAGGTCAAACTCCCAAACACATGGACAGATGCAAATATTACTCTGATACCAAAAGAGGATTCAGATTTGATATAGATAAAAAACTACAGACCGATATCATTATTAAATGTGGACTATAAAATTTTTATTTCAGTAGCTGAGAGACTGAAAAGATTTCTGACTCAATTTATACATTCAGACCAAAACAGATTTCTACCAAAGAGACAAATGAAAAATAATTTAAGAGTTATAATGGACATATTGGAATATTATGAAACACATCCAAGGAAACAACTGGCATTAGTATTTTTAGATGTCCAAAAGGCATTTGATAATGTTTCTTGTCAATTTATGATTCAACAACTAAAAACAATGGATTTTGGACAAAATTTTATAAATGTGACTAAGACAATATATCATAAACAAACAGCAAAAGTGATTGTAAATTGAGACTATAGAGAGAATTTCAATATAATAAAAGGCACAAGGCAAGGATGTCCACTATTCCCATTGTTATATATTTTAATTTTGGAAGTTTTAAATAGAAACATTAGACAGGATTCAGAAATTAAAGGACTGGAAATAAAAGGTGAAACTTATAAATTGCAAGCTTTTGCAGATAACTTGTATTTATTCTAGAGGAAACTTTAGAGATGATTCCTAAATTATTGGAAAAGATAGAATAGTTTGGAGAGATAGCAGGACTGAGGATAAATAGAAAAAAAACTAAAGTTATAGTTAAAAATCTCAAAGATAAACAAAAAAAAAAACAATTGCCAGAAAAAATATAGCTACAAATAGTTAAAAAGGTTAAATACTTGGGAATATACCTGACAGCAAGATGTTTAATGATAAAAGAAGATAACTATTTAAAGCTACTAAATTAGATAAAACTTGACTTGGAAAAATGGAAAAATCTGCAATTGTCGATGTTAGGAAGAATCGCTACAATGAAAATGAATATTTACCCAAAATATTGTTTTTATTCCAAATGATACCTATAAAACTAGAGAAATTTTTTTTAAAGATTTAAATTCTCTAATTCAAAAATTCATTTGGCAAGAAAGAAAGCTAGAATTAGAATTAAATTGAAAATGTTACAAGAAGCTAAGGGAAATGGAGGTTTTGGCTTGTCAGAGTAGGTTTTATATTATCAAGCATCAGTGCTAACATGGGTAAAAGACTGGATAATCCTCAGAAATAAAAGATTGTTGTATTTGGAGGGACATGACTTACAACTCAGTTGGCATGCTTTCTTATGGTATAGGAAAAATAAAATTCATAAATATTTTCAAAACCGCTATATTAGAAATGCATTATTATTAACATGGGAAAAAATAAAATGTAAAATATATTTGAAAATTCCAGGATGGCTTTCAACAATGGAAGCATTCGTACATCCATATCTAGTCAGTCTTGAGAAAATATGGACATATAAAGATATTCTAAACTATGAAGGGAACTTCAAATCTAGACAAGAGATGGAAAATCAGGATATTGATCTATCATAGTGGTCACATTTCCAAATGCAAGTGAGATATGATAAAGATGTTAAAGTGTATGGATTTTAGAAAGAGCAGAATTCTGTTTGATCAGATATTACTAAATTCTGATGAAAAATTAATTAAGAAAACATAATTTTTATTAAATTTGAAAATGGAAGATTAACAAGTAAAAGAAACAAAGATAACATGGGCAAAGAACTTTGGATACAATATAGATCTAGAGAAATGGCAAAGCCTGTGGGAAAGAAATTATAAATTGACAATGTCAACCTCTTACAAAGAAAATCTATACAAAATGTTTTATAGATGGCACGTGCCACCAGCAAGATTAGCAAAAATGTTGGAAATGTAATTATAAACCAGGTACATTATCATGTATGGTGGATATGTGTAAAAGGAAAGAGATATTGGACAAAAATGCATACTTGGCTAGAAAAGATGTTGGGAAAACATGTAGATTTTAAACCTGAACTTTTTTTATTGGGTATATTGCCAGAAAAGCTTGATTTAGCATGTGGTAACAGCAGCAAGAATTATATTCACACAACAGTGGAAAAATGAAGAAATAATATCAGAGGAAGATATAATAATAATAAAATACTAGACTGTGCAAAAATGCACAGGCTTACTCTGAGGTTGAAAGAAAAAGAAGAAACAGAATATTTTCAAACTTGGGACTTATTTTATCATTGGCTGGAGAAACGTACTAGGGATTAGGAATTTAATTTGTATTAGTAAATGATAAACTCAGACAACATGTTTGTTGAATAAGCATGGTTGAACTGTATTAAAAAAATCAATAAAAGCTTATAAAAAAAGAAAGTTCTTGGTAAGCAAATAGTGGGCCTATAGTTGCCTAATGATGCCCCCTTTGCTGGATCCTTCATAATCAAGTATTTGATTGCTTGGGCTTTTGCGTGACATAAAAAAAATGTTTTTGATGTTTGATAGCTATGGCTTGACTTATTCAATATGGTTGACAGAGGAATCAGTGCAAAGACAAACATTAGTGGTAAAAGTGAGTCTCCGTGGAAGATTCATCTCTTGATATTAATCTCTTGCAAACCATTGATCACAACCATGACTTCCACGGTGCAATTGATTTTTATACAAAGTTACTGATGTTTCTACTGACTCCTATTATTTCTAAGCACTTGATTGGCCAATTAAGGGGCAGGGATTTAATGCCTTCCCATACGCTACATTAAAGTTGTTTATCTTCTATTTCAGTTTTCCAAAATCATATTGGCAATTAAGGAGTATTATTATTACATATTATGTGTATATGTACAATATTATTGTACATAAATTGAGTAATGAATATAATTGGGATGCAGATTTTTAGAAGGCAGTTCCACAAATTGCAGTGAACATGGATGAGAACAAAATTATACCTTTATTTTTACTATTTTATTTTTTACATTTAAATACATTTTCTGGAAAGGAGTTCATAGGTTTCTCCAGAAAGCTCAAAGAAATCATGGCACAAAATGGTTAAAAACTCAGATTATGAGAGATTTTCAATACTACAAATACTATTCAAATGATGACTTTTAAGCAAAATTTACCTGGAATATTTTATATGGGGCAGTTGACTGATAATTCTGAAGGTAGAAACACAATATAGTGGTATATTGGTATGAATAAAGCTCTGTGGGAATCACTGTTGTTTCTGCTTTAAGCTGAACTAGAGGCCTAGATATGCGTGAGAATAAAAATAGGCATGCACACAGACAGTTATAAAGTATGACAAAATAATCCAAACTTTGATTTCTCCATGTATGAGATTGGGCAAAATTCTTTTGTCAAGATATCTGATAGCAATAGCATTTAGACTTATAAACCATCCCATAATTATTTATAGCATCTTCTGGGCAGTTTATAATGTAAGCATTATTTGCATATTGCCTCGAACAATCTGGGTCCTCATTTTACTGGCCTCAAAAGGATGGAAGGCTGAGTAAACCATGGAGTTCTATCAGGATAGAACTCCAGACTATGGGTAGAGTTTGCCTGCAATATTGCAGTTTAACCATTTCACTACCAACTACTATTAGATAGTGGTGTTTCTGACAAACCCAGAAGTAATTTATCTTTCTCACTGATTTGTAATTTGTAATTACTTAAAAGGCACAGAATATGACTTATGGCCCCACACAGGTGACTGTCTAATATACTCAGCCATGTTGAATATAATTTCATTAAATATTTTGGCTTACATTTTCCAGGCAATACTGGCTCACGGAACCCTAGCAATGATGATTTGACTAATGCTACAGACAATGCAGCAGATGAGATAATGGATCGTATTGTCAAGTCTGCCACACAAGTACCAAGTCAACGTACAGTGCCCAAAGAAAGAAAGCGATCAAGAGCAAACAGGAAGTCAAGTAAGCTCAACTAGTATTCATTATCTGTAAACAAAACAAAATATTACTCTTTTGGATTCTTCTCCCATCTATACCATGTACATGCAGGCAATTTTGTTGAGGAAAAGAAACCTTGCTTCCTATGTCAGAACACTCCTTCCTACTGTTTCTCCTTAGTCAGTGCCTAACAAGATAAACTTTTGTTTGTTAGATTTATTTGTTGTTGTTAGTTGTGAAGCCGTGTCCGACCCACCACAACCCCATGTACAATGTTCCTCCAAGCCTTCCTGTCCTCTACCATCTTCTGGAGTCCATTTAAGCTCACGCCTACTGCTTTAGTGACTCTATCCAGCCACCTCATTCTCTGTCGTCCCTTTCTTCTATTGCCCTCAATCTTTCCCAGCATCAGGCTCTTCTCCAGTGAGTCCTTCCTTCTCGTTAGGTGGCCAAAGTACTTGAGTTTCAACTTCATGATCTGGCCTTCTAAAGAGCAGTCAGGGTTGATCTCCTTTGGGACTGACTGGTTTGATCACCTTGCAGTCCAGGGGATTTGCAGGAGTCAGTTCAAAGGCCTCAATTCTTTTGCGCTCAGCCTTTCTTATGGTCCAACTTTCACAGCCATACATTGCAACTGAGAAAACCATGGCCTTGACTATACATACTTTTGTTGGCAGGGTGGTGTCTCTGCTTTTTAGTATGCTGTCTAGATTTGCCATAGCTTTCCTCCCCAGGAGCAAGCGTCTTTTAATTTCTTGGCTGCAGTCCCCATCTGTGGTGATCTTGGAGCCCAGGAAGATAAAACCTCCATTTCTTCCCCATTTATTTGCCAAGAATTGAAAGGGCCAGATGCCATGATCTTGGTTTTTTTAATGTTGAGTTTCAAGCCAACTTTTGCACTCTCCTTCACCCGCATCAAGAGGCTCTTTGTTAAGTCCTGGGAGCAACGGCGAATGAAGAATACACATGTTTCTGTAACAGCTCTTTATTGTGCTTATTTCAAACTCCAACAATGAGCAAAGGAACGCAGGCCTCCTTTTATACGTCCCCATTCCCTGGACAAGATGGCAATATTACTAGGCCTTTTCGCGCCTTGCACATGCGCGCTTGGTCAGCGTCACTCAGTCTGGTCCCGGGCAGCTTTTGCAATTGCCCGGGAACCTTGCAATGTCCCGAGCCTGTATTTGCAGGCTCAGGACACAACACCCCTCCCCCCCTTAGCTAGAACACATGGTACTTGTTCTTACAACCCATACAAAATGTAAAATAATAATAAATTTCTTTCCATCCTACAGACTCTCCATTCTGCTACAACTTGTTGCCACTCTCTAATGTGTGCTTCGTGGGTTCTGTTGCTACCCACATAGGTTCCATCTCCTCACCATAGACTTGTACTGTTCTTATGCTGACAAGAACCTTACATACTCATCTAGGTGTTTAGGAGGGGCCTAAACCCGTTGGGACCTTCACAGGATGAGGGAGAGTGCCTGGCCTGACAGCTCTCCTGCTCGACTGGACAGACCAGGACTTGACCTTAAGGGTGCCTGGCCTACCAGCCCACCTGATGGGCTTGCTAGACCAGGACTTTTATGCACAGGTTTTGCAGGTGACCCCTGGTAGGGCATACCAGCAGAAATGCCAGAGTTTCCCTCAGGCTCTGTGAGAGCAGCTGCACTCTCCCAACCTTCTGAGTTGGCTGAGGATTCCAGAACTACTCTGGATTGTTCCTGAGAACCTATGTCCTCGAGCCAGCGACCGTTTTTGAGTGTGCCCTGTGAAGCAGGTGTGTGTAAGGGGCCCCAGTATTTGGTGGACCCCACAATCATGCCAGCGATGCCAGAGTCCTGAGAGGCCTCTCTGCTTGCCCCCCTTACATAGGACCTCCTTTTGGAAGCAGTTGCAGAATTGAACCTGCTTCCTAGCTAGGTTGCCAGTTCTTGCGTGTTCTGTGAGTTCTGTGAATACCCCTGGTTATCCTCCCTGTCTGGGGTGTTACTGTCTCTGTATGGGATATGTGGATGCCCCCGGGTGATTCCCTGGCTGGAGTGCGTCTTGGTGTGTAGGGTAGTTCTCTGCCCCATGAATTCTTGTTTGGAGCACTTGAGGAATCTCGGGATGGGGGATCAATGATCTCCTCAGCTGCTGGCACTGGCTGCTGACATTGATCCTCAGAATGTATTCTATAACCTTCCTCCCCCCCCCCCCAGAGCAGAGCCAGGAGCGGAAGGGTGAGACTCCAGCCTCGTACACATCTGATCTTTGTGCCACCGAAGAATGCAGCCGTCTTCCAGGGACACTTCATAGGACAAGGGCCCCGAGACCTTGCAGACCACAGCTTGTGCCCAGAGATGACCAGGCCCACTTGCAGACACCTTGGTGATCGTGGATACAACCCTTGAGATGCCACCCGGTCAGAGTGCAATCTGTCCAGCTTGGTAATGAGCCGGCGACCCCAACGAAATTCAGCCGGGCTCTTTCCAGTGGCAATGCAAGGTGTGGTGCGATGTGCAAGAAGAAAGTCTGCCAACCTGTGATGCCAGTCACTGTAAGTCAGTCCTTGGTGGTGCGCACCATATGTTCAGCCATTCCGTTGGTGGATGAGTGGAAAGGATCAGAAGTTGCATGGCAGATCATGTTGGCCTGGAGGAAAACCTGGAACTCAGAAGAGGTGAATTGAGGACCATTGTCTGAAACGAGAACATCTGGAAGGCCATGAGTTGCAAAAATACTTCCCAGCACCTGGATAATCTTGGCAGCAGTAGTGGAGAACACAGGAACAACCTCTAGCCACTTAGAATGGCTATCAACAACAACCAAGAAGAATTGCCCCTGAAAGGGCCCAGCGTAATCTATATGTACCCTGGACCATGGGGTGTGAGTTTCCTCCCATCTATGAACTGCGGCCTGAGGCATTTCAGGCTGGGACCGTTGGCACACATGGCACCCATGCACTTGAGCCTCAATGGCTTTATCGAGGCCAGGCCACCACAAATGGCTGTGCACAAGCACCTTCATCCTGACTATGCCAGGGTGTCCCTCATGTAAAGAATGCAGCACTCTAGTCCTCAGTGAGGTAGGGATTACTACTCTACTTCCCCATAGCGGACAACCCTTGAAAGTGGACAACTCATGTCTTCTTTGTCAGAAACTCTGAAACTCGGTATCAGGGCATTTGTCAGGCCATCCTGACAACACTCATGACAGAACGCATGTGAACGTGTGGTCAGTGGCAATTTCAGCATCCACATCCCTTGCATTGAGGGGAGACTCAGGTAGCTCTTGAATGGACAGAATAATTAATGGCTGGAACAGGATAAGGCTCCAGCGTTGGAAGGGGTAATCTACTCAGGGCATCAGCATGACCCATTTCCTTTCCAGGCTTGTGAATTAAAGAGTAGTCATATGCTGACAGGAAAATGGACCAACGCAGCATACAAGGAGAAAGAATATGTGGGGTCTGTTTGGTTGTAGTGAACAATCCTAGCAGAGGCTTATGGTCAGTGTAGACCGTGAAATGGTGGCCATATATGAAATCATGAAACTTTTTAATGCCAACCACAATGGCTAGCGCCTCCCTGTCAATCTGAGCATAGTTCCGCTCAGCAGAAGACAAGGTTCTGGAGTAATATGCTACAGGAACCTGTGTCCCATCAGCCAACAGATGGCTAAGAACTGCCCCCACTCCATATGGAGAAGCATCGCAGGCAATGCAAACAGGCAACTGCTCATTGAAGTGAGCCAGTACAGCATTAGAAGTAAGCAAGGCCTTAACCTCATTGAAACTTTTTTCATGGACCTTAGTCCACTGCCAACAGGCTTGTTTGTCTAAGAGCCTGTGCAATGGCTCAGCTATAGCAGCTTTGTTTGGCAGAAATGCATGGTAAAAATTTAGCAGCCCCAAAAAGGCTTGTAGTTCCCCTTTAGACTTAGGGCTTGGGGCCTGCTGAATGGCCTTTAATTTAGCTTCAGAGGGTGGATACCTTGAGCATCTATCCTGAATCCCCAAAAGTCAGTAGAATTGACTCCTATCTTAAACTTGTCCTTTTTAAACTTGAGACCTGCTTCCCTAAAACGAAGCAAGACAGCCCTTAATCTCTCAGCCAAGAGTTGAGGTGATTCTCCTGCAATGAGGACATCATCAAAATATGGACAGACTCCTGGAATACCCATCAGTGTGTTCTCCATAATACTCTGGAAAATGCCAGGGGCTACATTTACCCCAAATTGCAATCTCTTCCTTTAAAAGCTCCTCTATGAGTCACAATCGTCTGAGCCTCAGCAGCTGCCTCATCAACAGGCAACTGTTGATAGGCCTGTGCCAGGTGAAGCTTCGCAAAAATCTGCCCCCCCCCCCACCTTTAGGGAAGCCAGAATGTGACTTACTACATGTACTGGATAAGCGTGTTGCTGTAGTGCCTTGTTTAGTGTACACTTGTAGTCCGCACAAATACGAATGTCCCCATTAGCCTTTAAAGGCGTTACTATGGGAGTTTCCCAAGGACTAGAATCTACAGGCTCTAGAATGCCCTGCTGGAGCAATTTGTCCAGTTCAGCATCAATCTTGTTTTTAAGTGAAAATGGAACTCTCCTAGGTTTGACCTTAATGGGTGCTATGGATGGATCTAATCGTAGTGAAACTGGAGGCCCCTTGTAGGTTCCAAGCTCAGAGTTGAACATATCTGCAAATTCCCTGCAGACTTCTGTAAGGCTAAACGTTTGCAAATGGTGCAGCCCCGTGACCTGGATTCCCAGAGCCTCAAACCAATCGAGTCCAATAAGACTCGCACATTTACCCCCAACAACCAACACATCTAAAAAACCCTCAAAATCCTTGTACTGTACCTTAAGGGTGGCCTCCCCCTTAACACACACCTTAGAATTCTAAAAGTCTGTAAGTATCACAGTGGATGGCCTGAGTTTCACTCAACGGCCACTGCTGCTGCAAATCTTCCTGAATGTGTTGAGGGAAATAATAGAGAGAGAGGAACCAGTGTCCAATTCCATGGATAAGGGAACCTCTTGCA